ATATTCCATTATACCATTTATTATAACGTTTACAGATATACTTGTTATATTTATCTTAATAATAATGATTGGAGTCTATACATTCTATACTAGGTCTAGTCGACTTTTATTGTCCAGCTGTCGTCGAGTGAGGTTGTGCGTCGCTCGCTCTGTGACTGTCTATTTCACGAAAACTCTTAAGTGATGGCAAGTGATGCTGAAAGTGAAACAAGTTCTACCTACTCGGAGTCACCCGTTAGGGTTGGCAGTGTATCGATGACCGAAGACCTGGAAAAAGTCAACAAAATGCTGTCCTTCCTGAAGAACTTCAGTCCTGAGAAGAAGAAAGTGGTAGATCTGCTAGATCAACCAATGTTGCCACTCCAAATGTTCAGAGCCTGGACAAGGTAATTAAAGTCATGGACGCCATTTATTCTCTAAATGTTAAAATGTTGAGCAATATTGAAAACCTTGTCTCTATGCACTCCAAACTTAAGTGCGATTTTGACAATCTTACTGAAAAGCAGGCCTCCGTACCAAGTTACTCTGATGTAGTTTCACGCGGCATACCCTCACCTGTGTTATCCATATTACTGGGCCCCGTCCTGCTGCCTCAAGCAACGTTTCAAATGCCCCAGGTAATGATGATGCTAATTTTGTTGGCCCGTCCATACTGCGTCTTTATAAACGCATGGATTCCATTGAACAGGACTCGTTTGCAAAGGTAATGGCTTGCCAAGGTAGTGTTGTGCAGTCAATTATTGATTCTTCTTTCGTCTCCACTACTGGGAACGCCGCTGAGGCGGTTGGGAATACCGAGCGTCTGAAGAAGAAGTTTATTGACAAGATGAACGATTATGGCGTGGGAACTCTTCGTGCCACTGACATCGAGGCCGTGGTTGTCATCGGGAAGGATGTTAACCATCTACGAGTGTCTTTCATCACCAAAGAAGCCAGGAATCGAATTCTGAAAGATGTGATGATTATGAAGCCTGAAAACCTATTTGTCAATGAATATTTGACTAAAATGCGTGCTGCTCTCCTATTCAAGCTAAGAATTCTAAAGAGATCCAACAATTCAATAGAATCGAGTGTATGCATGGCAAGGTCAAGTTTGTGCTAAGACTAGGTCGAGCAATAAGGTTTCATTCATAAACTCTTGAGTGTGACCTGGTGAAATTGGAGTAGTCTCTCGCCGTTTCAAATGTCTGATACGTCTTAGAATAGAATAGAATAGAAGTGTCGGCGTTGAAGAAATAGGCCCATGGCCTGTTGCCGATTCTTGAACTTTTCGTGACTTGATTCACAAGGGATCCGGCCTTTGGAACCCGATCTTTCCATAGCCGACGATTGATTGAGATAGCTGCTGGACTTATGCCTGGTCCGTAATTTGCTAGGCATTTTAAGACTGAACATATGCTCCTGCATAGCTTCGTCTAGTCTGTTTTTGAAGATGTTCATACTCGGAGCGTCAACGATGCTATCAGGGAGGCTATTCCACATGTCGGTGACTCGAAGCGAGAAGAAATGTTGTCGCATGGATGTGTTCCAACGCTGTTTTTTTAGTTTATAGCCGTGGCCCCTGGTGTTGGTTCTTGTTTCAAATTCTAGTAATCCTTCTGGGACCTTGTATAAGTCATGAGTATACTTGTATACTTCAATGAGGTCCCCGCGCAGACGTCGATAACTGAGGCTTGGAAGCTTCATAATCTTCAATCTTTCCTCATAGGACTTGCCTTTCAAGCCCGGAACTATTCTTGTTGCGCGTCTTTGAACACTCTCTACTAAATTTCTGTCCTTTTCAAAATTCGGTGACTATACGACGTTTCCAAACTCTAGGTTCGGGCGCACGACAGCAACAAACAACTGCTTCATCGTTTCTGCATCTAGGAACTCGAAAGAGCGTCTGATCAGTCCAAGTCGTTTATTGGCTTTATTAACTTGACCTTCAATATGCTTAAAAAATTTCAATTTTTTTTGGCGATATTAACTCCTAAATCCTTTTCCGTTGTCGACTTCGACATCATCACTCTGTCGTTGCAACCGTGTCTTCTCATACTGTAATCTTGCTGTTCATTATTCTTGCCAAGGTGGGATAAATTTACATTTGTCAGCGTTAAAACGCAGCTGCCACTTATCAGCCCAGTCAACCAGCCAGTCAAGATCACCTTGCAACTGTATTTTTGCGAAGTATTCTTCACTGCATTAAAAATTTTTGTGTCGTCAGCATACATCGAGCAAACGCTAGACACAGCTTCTGGCAGATCGTTTATAAACGCAACGAATAGAATAGGCCCTAGAACGCTTCCTTGTGGCACGCCGCTGCGCACTGAAGCCCAGTCTGAAACCGACCCATTAATACTGACACGTTGTCGCCTCCCTACTAGAAAATCTCTGATCCATTTGAGAACATTACTCTCAATTCCCAAAGACTTCAAGACTTACAGCCGCTCATGTGGGACACTGTCAAATGCCTTGGCAAAATCGAGGTACACTGCATCTACTGGCTCCCTTTCGTCCAGCAGGCGGGTCCTTCCGTTCAGAGTAAAATATCAGAGTTCCTTCAGCTGAACCATCATATTGTACATAATTTTCACAACTTCACAACGATGGCCGAAATTACTTATCCTGATGTGTCTCTAAGGGATTTTTCTGTGGCTGATGTTCCTGATACCAATTGTGAAATCTACGATTGCGATGCTTTCTTAAACCGTGCCAGTAGTTTTAACCATGAATCTTTTTCTCTTGTTTGTGTTAACATTAGGAGTATGTGAAAATATTTTGAACAATTCGTGATATTCCCCAGCACAGTGAAATTTAAATTTACTCTAATTTTAGTAACGGAAACCTGGTTAACTCCAAATTCCGATCAATTGTTTAGTATTTCAGGTTATTCTAGATATAGCATTTATCGCAACAGCCATGGGGGAGGTATAACGGCCTACGTAGACGACAAGTTCGGCGCTAGGGTAAATGATGAGTTCACTTGGGTGAAAAGTGAATATTAACTGTTGAATCTTTATGTCAGCCTATCTACTCTTGATCGAGCTTTCTGTTTATTGCGTTTATAGACCACCATCTAACAGTATACGAACCTTCAACGAGTTGTTCACAGTCGAGGTTCTTGCAAAATTGAAGGGAACTAGTAAATCAATCGTATGTGGGGACTTCAATATAAATCTATACAACTCTCCTAATTTATTCTCAACTGACAACTTTATTTATGACATGCTGTGCAGTAATTTTTATCCAGTAATAACGAAACCAAGTAGAATTTCCCCTCAAAATCCTATTACTCCATACTCTTTACTGGATCACATTTGGTGCAATTTTTCCTTTGGATCCAATCCCGAATCAGCTGTAATTGACTGTGACTTGTATGATCATTTGACGAGGTTCTTTTATGTTGATACCGGTTTTTCTTTCGCTCCACCTCTGAAAAAAAGTTCGCTTAGTTAATGATGACAATATTCAACAGTTTAGGGAGAAAACGCGATTCTTCCCATCGAAAATTTTGTCAAATATTAATGAACCCAACTTAGCAATGTACTTTTTATATCCGAGCTTTCCAAAACTTATAACGAATCCTTTCCTGTGAAGTTATGTCTGTAAGAAAAGCAAGGCCTCCATGGTTAACTGCTGAGATTAAGTCTGCCATTAGGAAGAAACTTAAACTTCTGAAGCCTTCCCGTTCTGGGTGTAATTCTTCATCGATCGTACACCACCTATCGGAATGTCCTAAACACCCTAAATAGGACAGTTAAGAGGCTATACTACTCGGCTGTGTGAATAAAGAATAGTCTCTTTTTCATATTTACTATATATTGACTATCCTGAACAGTGAACACCACGACGCTCACCTACCATCTCAACACGACCTGCTCCGCAAGCTACGTGGTCTAGAACTGTGTCACTATTCCTCTGATGGTGTGTCAATCATATTTCTGTATAGTTAATCTGATCACCATTCCTCTAATGGTGTGTCAATTCTCCTTCAGTAGAAGTTGTTCTGATCACCACTAATCGCTAGCGGAATGGTGTTCGCCCTAGCCTTACTTAAGTTGATTTGCTTTTAAAAGATGTTGCACCAGAAAAAAATGAACCCAAGTTACATCATTACGGTACTGCACCTGAATAGTTTCTGATAGAATAGTCTAGTTCTTTTTTACTCTGCCCACACGCATCTGCCATGCAAGAAGAAATAAGGCCAGATTTTCTTATTCGGTTATTTATTAGATTATAAATTTGGTCGGATTCCGTTCGTCATCACTCGCCCGGACTAACGTGATAAATTTACTTTATGTGATAGGCTATGCCTGCCACCGTACGTTCAGCGCCACCAAGAACGTGAAATCCAGAAGTCTTAAGCTGTGCAGGCGTCGAAATGGAGAAGTCGATATTTCGTAGGCATATTTCATTGGAGTTTAAAGTGCCGTTACGTTGGCGCTGGCAACTGACCGCCCACTGCTCAGGCTGTTGCATTGGCCATTAAAGGCCATTGCAGGCCTTATGATCATCTTTACGGCAGTGTCCGAGGCTTGGCGTTTTATCCGAGCCTTACTTTAACCTTCAGCTGCCGGGGCCGAGTGTGGATTCTAAATGTCGTCAAAACGGGCATGTATTGTTACTATATTAAATTCGTGCTATGTTGTGAAATTTTCGTAAAAATATCTAATCAATAGCAAATTGCTTATATCTGTAATTTGTCGGAGTAGAATTGGGAATCTAGCAGATAACGAAACTCATCCTAACCCAATAGCGATTTTCAGGGCGACCGCGATCGTGACCGCGACACTACATTATGTCCTATAATCGTCGTCGATGTCTATTTACAAAACAGGATACGCGCCGAGGCATATTGTTCGGATAGGGATTCCCGTTCACGCTTCATTGCCCCGCGGCCGCATCTAAAAAATAGCGATGTCAACACACAGAAAATCTGTGAGCACAAACAGGTTTGTCTGCAGCCTGTGCATATAACGCAAGGGCTCACGCTGCGATGCCAGTTCGGCCGACTGGCTTCGTTCAGTGGCGTTCGTTTTGTGTCTGCGCGGAAATATCCCAACTTAATTAAATAATTGTGCAAAATATGAGGCTTGTTTTACATTCATATCGGCAAGGTCACACGGCTAATGAAGGTAGTTCTTTGTGACGTTTGTTCACGTTGATTGAAAGTAGCTTTTTTATGTTAATGATCAACGCTGGTGCGACCGCAATAACTTTGTTTCGTTTCCAAGATTTTCGAAACAAAATTTAGTTTCGACAATCCTATGCAAATCCAGAGCGTTCGGTCCTATTTTCAATCAGAGATGATGATAACCTTTTATAAATGTGTTATATAATATCAGACCGTTTTATCTGTTTTATGCCTTTAAATCTGTGCGATAGATAATGAGATAATTTTTTTCAAGCATTTTGTTTTTGCCGTCATGTTTAATCGACATAAATGCTAGTTAATTTGCAAATAATTTTTCTGAAGCAATTGAGCTCAAATATGTTAGTGTGATTAAGATCAATTATTCTTGAATTAGGCACATGCGAGGACTTATATAACTTGTGTAAATTTGCGATTGAGACTTTAAAGTCCATGTCAACGGTGCAGCTAAACTGTGTTGAAATGGACGATGCGTGTAAAATAATTAAACAAACGACTGGACCTTCACTTCTCGTAGACTGACTTCTTGTTGGCGGAAACTGTACTTTTTTCATATTCGTTTTCGTTTTACATCAAAATTTAGTCGGTTTGTATTCGTTGCTGTACAGACAAATAAGGTCACGGTCATTAGTTCCTATATCCATCTGGGTCTGCATGCCGAGCCGTGGCAATGTGGCTTGAGCTCACGGAAGTGTTTGGATTCTTTAGCCATGCATTGGCCATGAACCCTCGTAATGAGCGCAAGAGTGAATGAATACTGCATATTGTAATACGATGAAAAGAGCGATATCTTTTTAGCGTAAAATTTACGTAAAAAAAGGAAGCTGTGAGTGCAGGAAATGAGCTGCTCTCTAAGATGCATTAATTTAATCAAACAGCACCGTTTCATTTTCCAAAATTTACCATTTTTCCAGTTCAACAAGATTTGGAAAACATTGAGGGTTTTCAAGTTGAAATCACTTTGGACCGACCTTTTTTGAATATAACATGAGAAACTTATTTGAAGTAAGAAAAATACAGAGCAACAATTAACAATGAGTGACTGTACGCTGCAAGAACAACGAGTAGAAAATCATGGCTGCCTTTATAATTTGGTTTCGGAACTTTAGATATATATTGTGAATGGAGAATATTATATATAAGGAGGATTTTTTTGTTTGTTAGTGATTCTCCTTGTTTCAGTAATGCAGTTAGTTTTCATCACCCAATGTTGATTGATGCTGATTCCATGTATAATTTTCAGTTAATTTTAATTAATTAATTGATTAATTTTAGTCTGTTTAAATTAAATTATTAATTTAATTAAATTAATAAATAAAATCTTTTAATTAATTTAATTAAATGACTAATTAACAAATTAATTTGTAGTCACAATGCACTCAAGGATATTTTCTGTAATATTTTATAAATTTTATTTTTTTCGTCATCCATGGCACGCAAAGTGATCATTCTAAATTTTTAATATTTTGGAAACAAAATTTTGAATTTTCAAAATCTTTTTCTCGTTTCAGAATATTTTCAGAACAAGTGTGTGATGCATTGCAACGCACGAAGTGAATGACAAGTTCCAAGAGTTTCTAACAAGGGTTTTGCATTAATTGTATTTCATGAAGCTTCGTGTTAAAACGCATTGAAGAAAAGTTTAGCTTCGAGACATAAACAATAAAATAAAGGAAGAGCATCCCGGACCCCGGCATGTCTCGGCTGTCAACCCTGGCTGTGGCAGGGCTACTGCCCCTGCTGTGGGTGTCGCTGGTGGGGGGCAGCGCCCAGATCGTCTTCCCCAAGGATGAGACTCCCCCTGCTGCCGCCCGACCGGCTGTCGCTCTCACTGCTGATAACCCTACACGATTGGCAGCTCTTACTGAAGGTGAGGTCATAGGGTTATAGTAATTCACCCCTCAGGGGGGACTTCTGACGCGTGTCTGTGCTCGTCAGAAGTCCTATGGGATTTCGCGCTCCTAGGGGGATTATTCCTGAGCGCCCCACCGCTGAGCAGCGGTGACTGACTGCAGGTCTCAGTTGTGGGGTTAAGTTATTATGTAGGTAGGATTCCTTACATTACGTTATTATGTAGGTAGGATTCCTTGCATCTCCTTTCTCTATCTCTCTCGTGCGGGCGTCCGACGTCCCGTGTAAGCGACCTCTTGTTCGAGTGTCTTCGTTTCTGTTGCTTTTCACCTGTCCCTCCTTGTCACTTCGTCTTTTTGAGATGCAAACGCTGTTTCTTTCGAGCCAGCTTCAGCGGGCTGGACATCTGAGACCTTCCGCCCCTTGTGGGTGATGATTAACTTGAGATTTTGAATAACTGAGACCTTCCGCCTCGCTGGCGATGTTACATTTTGACCATCGGTGCGAAATAGCTTGTTAGCTGAAGCGCTAGCAAACCATTCTACTACTACTACTTTTAGTAATTCATCAAATAAGTGATTGAATTATCTTTTTTATCCTCGGGGTTTTGACTGTATAGTGACAGCCGTGAAATTCTTCGTGGGCTAATTTAAAAAATTCCTATTCTGAATATAATTTGTCCGGTGTACGTACTTCTTAGGATGTGATATTTTTTTTTTTGCTACGTGTTCTTTGGTTTCCATAAGATGAGGCTTCGGTGAGTCTCACTGCGTCCCGCGTAGGAGGAAGCCATGTCTCGGGAGGAGGCCATGTCTCGGGAGGAGGCCATGTCTCGGGAGGAGGCCATGTTTCAAACGTCGCCCAATTCAACAGCCCCAAGCCCGCGGCCAACAGCGGGATTGGACTCTTCTTCCCGCGAGATGAACCATTGCCAAAGGTCGCTAAATCTTGGAGCATGACTTGATCAAATTTCGGCAAATATGTCACCAAGTAAAGTTGTCATATTAACGTTGAAAAATTTCTGTTACCAGGTCCATCAATAATTTAAAAACCGAAGAATGCAATTATAATCAACAGAACGACCATGTTTAAATGGAAGCGATTAAAATCAAAATGCCGAATACACGTAAAAACCTATCGATACAGACGGATAAGAAATATAAGTGCTGTCAAGGGAAGGGTCACATTAAAAAATATAATGATTCCAAGATCCTCAAACCTATGCCAAAAATCAATATTTTGCCGGAAATGTTAACAAATTAAAAATTATATTCATGAAATATTTTCGGATGATAACTTGCATATATTGCTGGTCATTCATTAAAATTTAATACGAGCTTAAATTCCTTATTTTTAAGAATAAAAGAATATTATTTCCACACATAAACTGTCCTCGCTATATTCGAAGTATACAGTTGTGCGCGATGTGCATCACATAAGTCGTAATGATTTTGCGAAACCTCGACATAAAATTGACCGTGGAAGGATATTTCGTTATAGAGTTCTGTTGGCACTCCCACCTCTTCAGACAAGTGTGTCATGCAATCGCTGTGTAATTTTTAAAATGAAACATTCTCTATATAATACTTATAATTAGTATCTGCTTGATTTTGTTAAGCCGTAGATTGTTATGTCTTCAGTAAAAAAGTATTTTTCTCTTCCGTGTAAATTTAATCGTTATGTGGATTAGACTAGGTTTCTTGAACTCATTAGAACTGATGATGAAGGTGGTCTCTAAAACGCTTTCAATGAAAATACAATAAAATTAATTGGCTTCTTTTTACGCTTTAATTCTTAGTTACTTCAAACATTTAGTTGAAAATAAATTTTCTGGCAAACGTAATTAGCATTTAAATTGTTGTGTGAGAGCTAAATTGTCGTAGTGACTAGTTTTTCAGACATGCCAACAGAATTGTGTGTTTGCAAATTATTCATTTGGAGATGTTCCCCACATAATACATGACATCGATATCACGGAAAGTCGTAGGTGCATCAACCACGCATGCACGTGAACTGCTTCTGAATTAATGAATGCACTTATTTAGATTTTTTAATGGCATGAACCACTCGCGCAGGTAAGCTGCGTCACTGCCGCAGGGGAGCCGGGGCTGTGCCGCCTGCTGGTGCAGTGCGCCACCTTCTTCGCCGACATCGCGGTGTTGTCGCGCTCGCCGTGCGCCATCGACGCCAACAAGTCGGGCGTCTGCTGCCCCGTGGTCGCCCATCCCACCCAGGGTCACGATCAAGAAATATTTTATAAATCATATAATTATATGAGAATTATACGAGATTTATATTATATAACATGAATGATTACTATGTATTATTTCATTGCATGAGAAAATTTAGTTATTGCCAATTTTGTGACTACTGTTCATATGACAAACATAGCCATTGCTAACTTTGCGACAAGCGCATAATATGATAAAATAAGGTAATTGCTTATTTTATGACTAAATTTTGTGAAATGACTTCGAAAGAAAAATCACATAGCCCCATGCGGTTCTTTCAGCCGGAAATCTATAAAAGGTAGAAGGCAAATGGAACTCATTCGGTGATTTGTGATCTCTGCTGGAGGCTCCTTCATGTCAATGAAACCCAACCAATTTTACTCAATAAATCTATTAACATTATGGTTTGCTCTCACAGACACCAACAGCATCGTGGATAAACCTCCTCCCGCGGACGTCGCCCGACCAAATCTTGAGCCTCAGCAGATCAATTTTGCCGTCGAGCAGTCGCAGGAGCAAGAGAAGAGGAAAATCGAATTCGAGAGGGAACTTGTGAGTTATATATATATGAATATCTTGGGATGTATTTTATTCAAATGCATTGGAATTGAAACTTAATAACAATAATTTATTTAATACAATCTCCACTTAAGAATAACCAAGCATCTTTTAAATAATTCGTTTGAAAAATCAGTCGTAAATATTCGAATGTGAATGGATATTAGATATATACTTGTATGTGAATTAAATATTTTGAAATTAATGGCGTAAATAAAATAAAATAAAATTATCCCGCATATGAACTATACACTCCATAAAAGAGTTATAAACTGTGTTAAATAAAATGAGCCTGCGAATAATAATCAAAACTGTATGCCTATATTTTTCTCAGGTCTTTAAGAACATCGTTGCTGAGAAAAACACGCCCGTGTTCCTACACGCACGCCTCTTCGACCCGAGCCCCAACGTGGTGGACAAGGCCAAAACGGCGGCCGTCGCACTCTCGACCACCCTCAATATAGTCAAGGAGTGAGTGGGCCATCATATGGCATAGCCAAAGGGTAGGAGTGAGTGGGCCATCATATGGCATAACCAAAGGGTAGGAGTGAGTGGGCCATCATATGGCATAGCCAAAGGGTAGGAGTGAGTGGGCCATCATATGGCATAGCCAAAGGGTAGGAGTGAGTGGGCCATCATATGGCATAGCCAAAGGATAGGAGTGGGTGGGCCATCATATGGCACGGCCAAAGGGTAGGAGTTAGTAGGCCATCAAATGGCACTGCCAAAGGGTAGGAGTGAGTAGGCCAACATATGGCACGGCTTAAGAGTAGGAGTGAGTGGGCCATCATATGGCACGGCTTATGGGTAGGATTGAGTGGGCCATGATATGTAACGGCTCTAGAGAATGAGTTCCTCGAGTCGTGATATTGCACGGCTCAAGGGTATAGGAGTGACATGCGTGCAAAAATCAGCAGGAAATGTCGGAATGCCTCGCGCCCTAGGAATCACACGTCAGTGATTTCCTTCGAACTTTTTCGCGATTAAATTTAAATATTTTCCGCATATCATTCAGGTTTAGCTTCAGCAAAGAAGAAGCTGAGTCTGGCCTGAGCAAACTGAGCGTCAAGGATACGATCATTGCTGACTCATGCCCTCCTGATCCCATCTGCCCTGAAACTAAATACCGGACAGCGGACGGATCCTGCAACAACATCCGCCACAAGGAGTGGGGAATGGCAGCAACCGCTTACCAGCGCATCATCATTCCAGACTACAGTGATGGTAAGTCTTCGATGATACATCATACATACTCGAGGAATAATGAATGGGCGGAAAAGGTTAATCATTCCCAATGCTTCATCATTCCGGACTACAATGACAGTGAATTTCGATCATTCATCATAATACACGAGGGATAATGAACGGGCCGAAAAGGTTGATCATTCTGTCATTATTCTGGACTATAGTGACGGCGAGTCCTCAATCATTCATCAATCATTCAAAGGATGACAATGAATGCTTGGGATACGACCACCTTCTTTCAGTGCATTGCTTTAAAGTTTGTATTATTTTATCGCATAGAAGTGGCATCTTGGTGACCAATTAGGCTCTCATGACAGCATATTCCAACTTTTCAGCTTGGTTTCCCTTTCTTCTCGAAATATTTTCCCGGCTCATTGAACAGGTGTTATTCAATACAGGAACTTTTCATGCACATGTCTCGTATATGAGTGCCAGTAACCATGCGAAGAAAGAGGAATTGTTTAATAAAATGTTTAATGTTGAAATGTCTTATGATAACCAACAAACGACAGAATATGCTTTGTTAAAATATTTTATGATATAACTTCTAAGGATCAAATCAATATCTTAACCGCAATTACCCAGGAGTGAACGCGCCCCGCCTGAGCGTGTCGGGTTCTCCCCTTCCCTCGCCTCGCGCCCTAAGCCAAAGGATGTTCGTCATGAGGGACGACCTCTACCAGGAGTTTACGCTGCTCATCATGCAGTGGGGACAGTTCCTGGACCATGACATCACGCACACTCCCATTAGCAAAGGTAATAATCACATTAATGCCCAAGGCCGCGATACTGGAAATAACTGCTGGAGATAATAAGATTAGATCTATTCTTACCGTAAAAAGAGAATCTAGTGTCTGGGAGGAGGTCAGTATTGTACAGAGACATCTATAAGAGCCAGTACTTCTGTGCTTTTGGACGTGAGCTCAGCCCGAAATTGCATTAATTTTCAATTTACATATTGTTTTTAGATCCTCAATAGATTTCTTAATTTAGATATAAGTTGGTTTCTGCAATAAAAATTACAGCAGGAATCTGTATCGGATAGTTCTATCTGAACGACAACATTTTTCTTTTCATCAGCGCCATTTGGTAGAGCAGTATCTTTATTGCTGTAAATTAACCTGAATCTTGAAAAACTGTCATTTTAATATTACGCCACTCGGAAACACAAAACTCGTAAAAAGTTACTTTAAAACATTTGACTCATGTCTGTGATATGTACGGCAGATACACGCCACTTATAGGAAAGAATTAACCCGGTGGAAGTCTAGTAGCTACTTCAAACTATCGTCAGTCATGAAAAGATCCGGTCAAATGACACGATATTCTGTGAACAAGGCACGAAAAGATCAAGAATCGGCGACAGGCCACATCATGCCTACGCTTCAGCGCCGACATCACTATGTTATGTTATGATTATCTGTCGTAGTGACAAAACGCCACTCTGAGAAAAAGTCACTTAGTGACATTCTCACTAGAAAATATCGAAAATCAACTGCCATCTGAAACCAAAGCTTCCTATTCACACCCTGCTTGAATATGCTTAACAATTTACTGTGCTCTGGTGAAGGGGACAACTTCGCCGACATCGTGTGTTGCTCGCGGGGCGCCATGCGGCCACCGCAGGAGCTGCACCCCGAGTGCATGCCCATCGAGATCCCCGAGGACGACGCGTTCTACGCGCGCTTCTCGCAGCGCTGCATGGAGTTCACTCGCTCCGCTCCCGCCATCAGGAAGGAATGCAAGTTCGGGCCCCGCGAGCAGATGAACCAAATCACCGCTTATATTGACGCAAGGTAATGAATGACAATTATGGATTATATTGGCGCAAAGTTATAAACGTCAATTACGAATAATATTGACGCAAGGTAATGAATGATATTTGTGAATTATATCTACGCAAAGTTATAAACGTCAATTACGAATAATATTGACGCAAGGTAACGAATGCCAGTTGTGGATTATATTGACGCAATGTAATTAAATGAATCGCGGCTTATAGTGACACATGGTGATCAACCAAATCAGGGCCTATCCCCCATGTTAAATTGGTTCTGTTCAATGAGAAATTAAAGTGGAAATGTCGCTGCGTTGCTAATCTTCTATGAGTTTAACATCGCCGCACATTTCTCTATCGGGATATCTTGCAGTGTTGTGCTTGTAATATTGATCCGTTGAGTCTTGATTATTTTCTATTTGCTAATCGTTTATACGGAATATTTTAAGCTATTATAGTATATATTGCAATTCGTGTGACTTATTTTGTAGCTACGATTATCATTAATAATTTTGAAATAATTTTCTCATTAGAAAAAATGCGTTGTACATATAAACAACAACAAAAAATATATATGAATATAAATATAAACAACACCTGAGCAAACTTACGTGGTGTCAGTCCTTAAAAAAAATGAAAGAACAAATGAATCAAATATTTAAAAGAACACAAACGTCACCAAACAGACACCAGATAAATAACGTCACCAAACAGACACCATGGAAATAACGTCACCAAACAGACAAGATATAAATAACGTCACAAAACAGACAAGATATAAATAACGTCACCAAATTGACCAAACAGACACCATATAAATAACGTCACCAATCAGACACCTTATAAATAACGTCACCAATCAGACACCTTATAAATAACGTCACCAAACAGACTCCATAGAAACAACATCACTGTCATCTTGCAGCAACGTGTACGGGTCAAGTGAGAGCGTGCAGCAAGGACTGCGTGAGGGCAGAGGAGGGAGGCTGCGCGTGACGAGGCAGGACGAGCGGGATCTACTGCCGGGGGACCAGCGGGCCCTGGGTTGCCGGGCCACGAGACCTCTCTGCTTCAGAGCAGGTAGATGGGACCATAGAGTAATGGAGTGCCGGGCCACAAGACCTCTCTGCTTCAGAGCAGATAGATGGGACCATAGAGCCCTGGGGTGCCGGGCCACGAGACCTCTCTGCTTCAGAGCAGGTAGGTGGGACCATAGAGTAATGGAGTGCCGGGCCACGAGACCTCTCTGTTTCAGAGCAGGTAGATGGAACCATAGAGTAATGGAGTGCCGGGCCACGAGACCTCTCTGCTTCAGAGCAGATAAGTGGGACTAGAAGGCTCCGAGGTGCCGTGTCACGAGACCGCCGCTTTAGAGCAGGTAGATGGGACCAACGGGCCCTTAGGGGCCGGACCACCAGGCCTCTCAGCATTAAAGCAGGTAAGTGGGACCAGCGAGCTCTGGGGTACTGGCCCACCAGACCTCCCTGCTTCAGAGCAGTTAACTTACTCCTGCATTTTTCGTTCGAATCGCTGCCGACTCCGCGAAACATTGATGTATTTTAAAAGGAATTGATCCCAATGATCATCAATCAGGAATAAAAGTACCCCGAAACTTTCGTTAGATTTGTTTTTGCTACTTACAGCAAATGATTATCATTGTGCTGTCAAGAAACACTTGTTAGTAATAACAGGTTTAATATTTGTAACAAGATAAATAATGGATCTTTTCTGTCATATGTTGAGGGAATTTAAAAGTAAAAATTGTTTATCAGTAATGAATCATGTTCGCATCACTGATCGAAAATGAGAATGCATGACCGGAAAAAAATTTTTGCATGAGCTGAACGCTTCCTCAGGTGATGTGCGCGTGAACGAGCAGCCGGATTTGGTTGTGCTGCACACGATCTGGATGCGACAACACAACAAAATCGTGGCCGAACTCTCGCGCCTCAACCCGAGCTGGACCGACGAGGCGCTCTTCCAGGAGGCTCGTAGGATTGTCGTGGCGCAGATGCAACACATTACCTACAACGAATATTTGCCCATTGTTCTCGGTACATCCATACTATCATCACTTAAATTCATAATAAAAATGTGACTATCTCTGTCTCCGTTGGATGGTTATAGGTTGTGATCACATTGTTCGTTATGCGAGTTGTGCCTTGAGTATTTTGTATGTATCCACGATTAGATTGTTCTTTTCATTGGTATGCCTTTTAGATATTAGTAATAGATAAATACGTTGAATTATACCTAATAATTTCCTCTGAATAACATTTTTTCAATTGTTGTCAAATAACTTATGTTACGTTTGATTGTCAGGACAAGACTTCATGGTGAGCTTTGGCTTAGTGCCACTTCCGAGTGGATTCGCCAATACCTACAATGACAAGGTCGATGCCTCCATCAACAACGCCTTTGCCGCCGCCGCCTTCAGATACGGACACACTCTCGTCACCAGCAACATTCAGTAAGTAGCACATCCATCATCCCTCAATGAATACTTATCCAAAAGTATCCCTGTTATGTTCCTCTTGTCTTAGTCCAGATTGAAGCTCATCTGTTGTCGATACTCTAGATGAGACAATATGGTTCTAACGAAGTTCCGTGCAACAAAACATATGTTCAAGTAATTGTTCGAAAAAAAAAAATATTCAGCAACAAATGGTTATTTTTTGTTATTATTTTCTGCATCACAGGGGATACTCGAAGTTCGGAAACGTCGACCGCGACTTAAAACTGAGTCATTCTCAGTTTTCTCCGTTCTTCCTGTACGAGAAGGGTACGCTGGACTCCATGTTACGAGGCCTGTCTATCCAACCCAGCCAAAAATTCGACAACATCTTCACGGAGGAGGTGAGTGCTGACAATTATTCTTAAGATCAAGTGTAGTCAGTTTACTCCATAGTATAGCTTGCAGAAAAGAATTGTTTCAGCAATCTGTTGGTACTAAGCAATGACCGAGTGAGGCCCTCATACTTGTAAACGTTCATGGGTAATATCATCAAAATTAAAACTTTCGTATGTAAAACTTTCGTAGCTGCAGTAAAGCTTCGTACCGTAATTATACGAGTATTCACTATTTGCATGCATATGCACAATATTTATCGTGTTGCAATTTTACCTGTGAAAATTTTTATTTTTAACTGAGGAATCATGAAACATTGAAATATGAGGAGGTGGAGTCGGATTAGAAAGTTGAAACGTAATTTTGACTTTGGAAAGTGTAAATTCAACTCGATTATTACCAAAAACTTCATTTTACATTTCAACCCTGAAGTTTAATGGGAGTTCAATGATACCAAGGGCCCCCTCAATGATACGTATCACCTATGGGGTTCAATGATACCAAGGGAGTTCAATGATACCCATCACCTGTTGGTACGGGCCCTTAAACGGGAAGAGGGAATTCGGGGCAATGAATTCAGGGTAATGGGATTTAATATAACATGTTTCGGGTTGATAGGATTCGGGACTGAGGTAATAGTGATTACTAGATTCGGGGATTGCGTTCAGAATTACGTTCTCACTTCACCAGTGGCACTTGTGAAAAATATAGTTCACATTCGCACAATCTAAATTAATTCTTTTGGTATTGCTCTTCAAATTATCCGGGATCGATTCTAAATGGTTCCAGTGAGAAATGTTTCCCCTTGCAGTTGACAAACCGCCTGTTCGCTCAAAATGGTTCGTTCGGTATGGACTTGATAGCGCTGAACATCCAGCGCGGCCGCGACCACGGCTTACCCGCGTACAACCAGTGGCGGAAAATCTGCCACCTGCCCACCGCTCAGCAGTTCTCTGACTTCACTGACGTCATTCAGCCTGAGGTACATATTCAGTATCGCTCATTACGGAAATACTTTTCTTGGTCGTTTTAGTTTTGACTTATGCTTACTTGCAAACATTTGTGCTAATATGTGAATAATAATTAAGTGGTTCAATTGATGTTGCACTATGTTCAGAGACTCAGAGTACCAGGATTGGAGTAAAGAGGTGCGGGTTTGATCCCAGCTATGTACATAACATAACATATTGATCTCGGCGCTGAAATGTAGGCCTGATGTGGCCTGTCGCCGATTCTTTTCCTTTTCGTTCCTTGTTCACAGAAGATCTAATATATAATATCGTTTCATTTGACCGGATCTTTCCATGACTGACGATTGTTTCAAGTAGCTACTAGACTTCCACCGGGTTCGATATGGTGCTAGGCATTTCAAATCTGAACATATATTTTTCTATAGCTTTATCTAGTGATTCTAGTTTGTTCTTGAACGCGTTCATACTTGGAGCGCCAACGATGTCATCGGGGAGGCTGTTCTACATGTCGGTGATTCGAAGCGAGAAGAAATTTTGTCGCGTGGAGAAGTTGCAGCGCAGTTTTTTTAGTTTGTTGCCGTGGCCCCTGGTGTTGGTTAGTCTGTTTATGGTTAGAATCGGCGAGGAGGCCGGGCTGTTAAGCAATGCAAAATTGGAGAAGTGAGTTGCGAGAGCGAAACCGCAACCAGCTGCGAATGTTCTGCGATATTAAGAACCTTCGATAGGTTTACGGCCTAGTAAATGCTGAAACCGCTATTTCAGATAAAATACTTCCCGAGTTTTATTATTCGATTTTAAATTGTATCCTCTCATGATAAATGAAAATAGCTTGATTCACTGTTTTAAGTTTTCCTCAACATTGACCAGAACGTGGAGAGGTTGGCAACGCTGTACGATAACGTGGACGACGTCGATTTGTTCATTGGAGGACTGATGGAGACGCCCAAAGCTGGCTCACTGCTCGGCCACACGTTCCTTTGCATCGTTGGAGATCAATTCGCTAGACTCAAAGTAGGTGGCAGTGGCTATCATAAGCTCAGACATGGTTCTAGTCCGTCTAGACTTTAAGCAAGAAGAAATATTTACATCGCTAAAATGTATCAAATTACTATTCTCATTCTTTGCTGGAGTCGAAAGGTTGAGAGCTAAAGGTGCCTGTGCACTGGGAAAGTTTCAGCTGATGGATAATATTAGTGGGTAATAATACTCGATAGTAATTTTCGGAATAGTTTCTTTATTCAGTGGAAAGTAGAAAGAGCAGCCGTTTGCAGTAAAAATACTAATTTCAATAAGAATTTGTTCGTCCATACTTCTTTAATTTAAATACATAATAATAATTTTTCAATGCAAATGGGCCATTGGGTGCATATTTGGTATCCAGGAAAATGATACATGCAATAATTTTGAACATGGATCCTTATTTTTGCAGCTCGGAGATCGTTTCTTCTACGAGAATGGAGGCTTGCCGTCTTCTTTCTCGGAAGCGCAGTTGGATCAAATCCGCAAGACGAGCATGTCGCGGATCATATGCGACAACTCCGATGATATACAGACAATCCAACCACTGGCCTTTATCCAAGCCAACCTTCCGTGAGTCATCACGCTATAAATTAATTTATAGTTTTAGTTATAGTTAAGAACTCTAATTCAATGGTCATTCAAACAGGGGTGGATAGCTAGAGGTCAGCATAGCCCAAGTCCACAGTGCGATTCATATACCTTCCCGAGCGTAACGCAGCCGGGCATCTTCACGACTTTTGACACAAAGCGCCCACCACAACAGCGCAGTTCAGTCACAGGCCGGAGCGCATACAGGCCGGAGCACAACTGGCCGGAGCGCAGCAGGCCCTACCGCAACAGCAACTCCTAACGTAACCTATCCTAACCTAACCTGCGCCGCATGTTGCGGTAGGGCCAGTTGTGCTCCGGCGCTGTGAAGCAGTGGCTGTGTTGTGCGAAGCGGGTTTACTGTTAGCCGAAGTTACCCACAGCTCATTGATCTGAGGCTATGTGTAGATATTGCATGCTGATGGTTGGCGTTGGGCCCAGGGCCTGTTTACGAGTCAATTTTGTTACCCACGGCTGCGCTTCCTTCAAACAGCAATTACTTATATTTGTAAATACTCTGGACGGCTCGATCTTAATTTCGTATAAAAGTGGGTCCTTCGCTTGCACGCAACACTTACCAAGAACATAATACATGATAAATAATTTAATAGAAAACCATATCGCCATAATATATTTATTGTATTTCTGCCTCCTCCACCAGAAACCAGCGGGTCTCCTGCAAAGACGAGGTCCTCATCCCCAGGATGAGTCTCGAGCCCTGGCGCAACGAGCCCGTGTCGCTCTGAGTGCCGGAGTTACCCTAAAAAGGACGACGCAGTTCTTGCAGGCCACGTTGTAGATCACATGGAACTATAGCGCGCGTAACTGCTTAGGTTTGATCGAATAGTGTTGCTGCACTAAATCGGGTTCTAAATTTATTTCCATGTTTCATGTTAGATAAGCGTTCGAACATTCAATTGCGAAAATATCCGGAAAAGATTCATAGAGCCTCAAAAGAGGTAGTTATATTATCAACAACAGGTATGTAATTTTGCCTGAAATCAATATCAATAATATCTTGCACATATTGAAAGACTTTCTCTGATTAATTTCCTTGCCGCTGGTGACAAGTCTTACTAAATCCAAATCATCGGCAAATGTATTTAGTTCAATCATAATTCCCATGAAGGAAAATCCTGAACTTGCATTATAAATCTTAATGATATAAATGGAGGAAAGTCTATTTTTTCTGACGAAAACCTCGAATATGAATGGGTAATCGAAAGAATTTCACTTGAAAACGTATATTGGAATTGCGTTATCAATCAACACAGGATCATTAATGTAACTTGAAGGAACGCCACGAGACTCCTACAGTTGACAGTGAACAATCCACTTCCGAACAAATTGAAACAATCTAAGTTTAAAATATCAACTGGGTATATTCACTTCCACTGCGAGTTAGTTCACTGGGTATCAGTGAGTATGCTGCTACTTGCCAATAATTAACAGGTAAGAAGAAAAACTAGTAAATTTACCATGACATTGATGCTAGTGACCATGATCACACGTGAGTAGTTTAATCCAAAGGAAAGTGCAAATTGTGAGGCTTTAAATACAGAGGCAAAAAAAAACACACTCCCCCCAAAAAACGACGCCGTATCACCGATAAGAAGGATCTAAACTGGATGTTCTATGAAGCAGTGTTCAAGTTGACACAACTCATGCAGGGAGAGCTGAGGTCAAATGCAAGGCACACTCTTTGACTTTAGGAGTAGCGGAGGTGCTGAGGGTGTCCAGCAGCGGTCTCAGGTCCAAAGAGTTGGCGAACTGGGAGCACTCGGGGCTGCCCCTGGCGAGCACAGTGCCTGCACCTACCAGTGCTCTGTACTGCGCCTCCTCATCACGACAAGTGAGCAGCAGCGTGCACAAGCCGCTCAGCACTTGGCACAGCTCGGATAAATCTGCACAATGACAATAAGTAAAATGTTTATCCGAACTCAACATCAAATCTTTATCTAGCTATTTGGTGCAGCCTATATAATAATTTAGATAGAGTATAGCCTATGCTTGAATTATTTCGGAAGGAATTTGAATCCAAAGGCCTGCTAACGTGAGTTACACTGAATATACAGAATGTTAAATCACGCAAGGTCCAAAGTAAAAGAAGCTCTTGTGAGTTGGTGGGTCATTGAAGTTACTTCAGTAACTACGTACCTATGACATAATTCATTCAGAAACTGAAATAGAGCATTTGTATCACGACGAGACCAAGTGATATGTAGATATATATTTGTAAATAGGAAACTCCTAATTTCAAAATGATTAATATACTGTCAATTCTGATCAAAAAATAAAAGAAAAACCTGAACGAAAGATGGACAGTTAGACAACATTGAATTTGTCAATATTTTTAATTATTACAGCAGAATAGATTATACACAAAATAAAACAATCGAAATAAAAAACAACCTAAAGTAATTCGTTAAATTAATCATATACAGTTATACACGATGATATTTTGTAGAAAAACCTCACTGCCTTACCATTAGTTTTTAAAGTGAGTATGACGGCAATGTTAAGTAGTAAAGTTGCAGCGGCGATCTCGAGATTTTTGTTGGGAAAAGAAGCCAACTCGGTGACAGTTGACACGATCACATCCGCGGAATTTGACAGTTGTTGACTGCCTGGTTCATGAGCGGCAAGATTGGCCAAGCACCTGATAGGGAGATAGTTAACATTTGGATAATGTTAGCTATCTGTAACATTAATAAACATTTTATTTTCGTACGGTACAAAAACACAATATGTATAAAATAAAGGCTACAATATCGTTAAACGTCAACGACATATGAAAGTACCATCTTAACCCATTAATGCCGAGCGGTTCCATTTGGAACCAGCAGAAAAAAATGGATTCATAATAAAATTGTATGGTCAAATCAATATACTAGTGGATGCGTAGGTTTGATACACATCTTGTCCATGTTCTGGCAAAGTTTGGTTCTGCTGCGCCGACTACTCTCTGCTCAGTTAACATTAAAATATTGTAAGTACCGGGTGTCAGACAGAAGGGCTTGACATCATTGCAGAGAATGGTAAGCAGTTCGTTCTAAGAATATATTATTTATAAGTTAGATGCAGAATTTTATCGATAAAGAGAGTACTTTTAATCCTGTATATGGCATTACGTGATATAATGTTTCTAAAGTCTTTTAGATCATGAAATATTTTGTCTGGTTCCAAATGGAACCGCTCGGCAGTAGTGTAAGCATTTCGGTCATCTCATTTTCCTAGTAGATTACTATGTGATATAGTTACGCATTGTATTTCAAAAACTTGTTTGTACTTAGAAATTATTTATTTAGATCTTAGATATAAGTTTTTCTGTTATTTATTAGTGAACCATTATCTTTAGAGCTGTTAGGAATATATATCCCGAAATTTGAAATATTTGGAAGTAGGTACGTTGAACACTATACGATTGTTCATCCCAAGTCACTTTTTTTCTAATTTTTTTTTTGGCAGATCATCACATGAAAGAATTGAGATTTCGAGAGAAGAATAACACGAAGATCAAATATTTGCTACTGAACCTTTCACAGAAGCAGCAACAAACGAAACATACTGAGATTCAGATAACTCAGATGACGCAGCCACTAGCAATTCTGCTGCTCGCCTATCGAGAATAGTCATTGTAGCAACAGTAATCACCGTATGTGATAACAATGACTATCGACAGAGAAGAAAGTCAACTGTGGTCGACATGGCCACATCATAATAAGACATATACGTGGCTAGCCCATGAGATTTAGTTATAAACTTTGGGCTGCAGATAAATCAGATGATATTTTTCTGCAATAGAAGCTAATCGGCGAATCTAATAGAAAAAGAAACTTATTCATGGGCTGGAACATGGATTGGTCCCATAAACATGATACTATTGGTCCCAAGCCAACATATTATATAAGATATCTATTCTGGTTTCATTTGGCTTCTCAAAAAACTTTTGAAAAAAAGAATGGCTATTGCAATAAATTTTCAAAAAGATCGGTTAGGAAATGCAATAATGCAGGAGACCCTAAATAAAACAATCAGGGTCTATAATGCACCCTTCTACTTCGATCCTTGACGAAGTGCAATACAACAATCGACAACATTGGCTAACAAAGAGACATCAGAAGCACTGCAAATGCAGTGCTTCGTAAACAATGTTGACAACGCACCCACAAACATTCATAAAATGGGCAACCTTCCTATTCATTTTGAATGAATAGAAGCATTCTATGCTAAAATTTAAATTGTACTCTGCCACGTTTGGTTCATCATCAGTATTGTCCATTATGAATACGTATATTACCTATTATCCATTATGAATAACCTTGCTTGATTTACTATCGGAAAAAGTATTGTTTGAAGAAACGTTATGTTAATGCCGAGCGGTTCCATATGGAACCAAGCTATATTTTTTCACATACAACGAAAAATAAAAATATGGACATATTTTTTGTTTATTACCATCACAATTGATAATATTCTCACAAGGAACCCCCAAAAAATTCAGTAAATAATTCTCGTCATTAATGGGTTAAGTTCTCTTTGATAGCAATGGCGATACTTAAGTTCCATGCATTAATGACCAAAAATTGATATGTTCATTCAATAATATAAAAAGCCTTTCAAGTAATGCCGTATTTGTCCGGCGCGAGTAACCTTTCTCAAGTTGATGTCACAGGTTTGGTAGTACCTGAGAGCCAGGAGCTGCGTGTTGGCTGGAGAGGGAGGCTTCAACAGCATCAGCAGCAGGTTGACGATGCCAGAGCCTTTATTGCCGGCTATCCAGCGCTCCTGGAGCTCACGGGAGCGAAGGCTCAGCCGCAACAGGTCTAAGGACGGCCACACCTCAGCGTTGCTCCACTGCAAGGCTTTCTCTAACGGCCCCAAGCTCTCAGTCTTAACAATCGTTGCGTTTTCTGATCCAAAAACGCCTTTAAGGAGATCATCAACTTCACTTTCTGATAATCTTACCTGCGAACACAAGAAGACATCAACGTGATAAGTCTCGCGACAAGAAGGTTAGTGGCAAGTAACAGCAGCACTGCCATGATGCCATCAGCAGCCTTTGTTTGAAAACATAATTTATAAATCCATGAACTAGATGAGAAACTAAGAAAATAATTAAGAAATTGAAAACAAATACGTTGAACCAGTTAGAGTCACTCAAAATTAGGATCACAAGACTGTCTCAAAGAAATGTGTTGGCTAAATGAAGAGTAGTTAATGAAATGTGCTATCAGGTCCTACATTGTTTTTTGAAAACCTTGTCCTTCCACAGTAAAATACAGTCAAATCGATACCGTCTGGAGTTAAAGTCAACAAATTTAACTGCTAATCAACCTGTTCTGCAACAAGTTTGTTGGTTTCCTTGAACTTGGCCGTGATGCCCTGCTCGTTGCAGGCCTCGAACAGCAGTGGCTTCTGCTGAGGATAGTGAGATGAAGCGTGGGGGCGCCCAGCCCCGCTATAGGAGGAGACTGAGGTGTAAGGGTCACCCCCACTGGGGCTGTTGCTGGTGCCGTTGCTCGTCCCACTCCCCGGAATATACCTGCTCAAATTTAACCTTATACACAAAATAATACTTAGCTAATAACTTAGACTCTGCCTGAAAGAACAAACATAACGAATTCAGACGCGAAAACAGTTTGATCTCAATGAAAAGATTATAAAGCATAAGGATTGCATTATTATCAACAGGCTGAGAGCAGATAGCCATTATTATCATAAATCCAAAGCTAAACACCTATTGCCTCCCGTGAACGGGTCAAAAGACGACGCAGGTGCTGCAGATGGAGCAGACTTGCTGTTCGTGATGATGAACTGCGCCACCTGATCCAGGTGGTCCTGCGGCAGCTGGTGTGTGTCGATGAATTTCTGCGCCACCATGTATGGGTCCTCGGAGTTGTTGTAAGGCAGTTTCAGGGAGCCTCCTGACCAACAATAAATGCACCAAATGAAAGTGTATTCTATCAAATTTATGTGGTTCTGTGTGAATCAAGTGAAAAGAATTTAAAATTCAAGGATATATATGACCATCAACAGATTGCATATCTTTATTATTCACATTATTTTCTTTATTCTTTTATTCTAAGAAACATGGGAGATATTTTTAGTTTTGCATAACTAATTTATATGATTCCGCGGTTGAAAAGAAAATGCTCAAATATTCATGAATCTATCAGACATATTACTCCTCAAAACTTGGATAATTGAGCTAAATCTTATTAAAACTATATTTTTCACTGATAATGGATCACGATCATTTGCAATTAACTCACCTTCGTCGAGCTCCACACTGAAGACATAGTCGTATTCCTTGCCTTGGTGGAGTACCTTGCCTGAAGTGGCAGAGGAGCCGCCAGTGCCTCCCACGACCTCGCCTACAGCCTCCCAGGTCCCCTTCAGCACACTCCAGCTGTAGCACATCACCTTGCCCTCCTCCCGCACCATGATCGTGTGACCGTCTTTCTGTCCTGGACGTAACAACGCCGATCTAATACAAAAAAAAATATATCATGTGCATCAATATCATGTGAATATAAAATTGAAATTTCATTGAATCACAATATCAACCGTGTCTATTGCACTCCTATGGAACAACGTCGATCTAAAGCAAAAAGAAATACATATAATTGTAAAATACCCGAACTTATTCTGATTGAACCCATCATCATTATATTAAAAATTTTACATGCAGATTGTTAATCGCATGTTAATATTAAAGTGGAGAAAAGGAAGTCTTCTTTCAGGTATTTCAGAAACAATATTTCTCTAACAGTTGAATGATGCGTATATATCTTTGGCAAGGTACTGCCTTCAATGTAGCTATTCTTGACATTATTTGACCTGTAAATGCTCGACACACCTCCTGGAGAATTGATGAAATATGTTTTTCACATTCATTTTTCATTGCACAGGGCGGCAGAAGTTTCGGATTCCTAATAGTTAACGAAATATTCAACTAAAATTTATCTGCAATACTAGCACGAAGATGGTGGTGATTTAAGAGATATATGATATAATTCAAATCATTACTTGTCGGGAAGTTTATCCTTCTGGATATCTCCGAGCTCAGCAGCAGCAGGTCTGACGGCGGCAGCGACTTCGTCAGCATACGCCTGTAGCTCCTCTGCTGCTGCTGCTCTCTCGCAAGACGCCGTGAAGATGCGACATGTGCCGTCGCTGGGTCAAATGACCAAATTATTCACAATAACAAATAACAATAATTATTTCACGGTACCATGAGACTAAATTTGAACTCCAAGGGAGGGAAAGTCTTAATAATATATTCATTATATATTTTATATATAATGAATATATTGACATTAAGAAAACACTAGGAGAAAAGCGGCTGTTCTAAATGTCTTCTGAGGTTGCATTGCATCGTAAGATTCATTTTCTAAGGTTAATATTAATATCACTGGAACTTTGTCTAAATATGTTGCTAAATCATTGGCATTTATCTGCATATCTGTGATCGTGTCACATGTATCTATATCCAGGTTGCTGGTAAATTCTGTGGTCACACTGACTGCGTTCGTGACCTCGCAGTAATCACATTCATTTAATAACATCATTCTTGATTTCTTATTATGAATGTGTGCAGTTATTATGTAATTGACAAGAGTGCGCAGTGGCACTCTTGTCAATTACACACGTTCAAAATAATGCAGTTATTATGTAATTCTTAATTCTTGATTTCTTCTCCACATATATAGGTATTATATATATATTATTCCAAAAAATAATACATTTAAACCTATCCAAAACACTTTATTATTAATTCAAATTCCCGCCACAAATTGTATTCACAGCACTCAACATCAAGCATCCCCTAAAATCAAATTACATTTCTAGTACGGTAGCTGTAATCTGCAATAGTTCTCATGTTCACGCCTGTGCAAAGACTTCACCCCAAACCTGCATCCGACAACGACGTCTGTGTTGGGTAGCACGGCGACGCTCCAGGCGCTCTGGCAAGGCAGGTGCACAGTTTGTCTGCAGTTACCGCTGGCGCTCCACACCCGCAGCGTCCGGTCCTCGGAGCCGCTCACGAAGCCTCGGAAAGACCCGCTTGTGTCGCTGATCAAACTCAAGCTGTCGTCAGTAGGTGAACAATTCTTAGATGGTGCTGATATTCAAAACAACATTCCTTACAATCCATATGAACAATGATGCTACAGCCATCAAAATTTCGATATACAGCAATCAAATGTTGCTACAATAAACGAAATTTTAATTCTCTGTAATTCAACATTTTCTAATTCACAAATGGACGGGGTTGTTATGTAGTAAAAAAGAAGGCTGGTCAAGAAATAGTGAGCTATATAACGCGATTTTTAATGGGCTGTGGTTGAAAAGTCGATATATTCACCACAATACAAAAAAGATGGAAAATAATTTTTTTCATATAAAAGACTTTCATGCATTCTAAACAAACAGACTCACGAATAAACAAAGTTTGTATGGCCATAGAAGATGTCAATGCATTGGCTAGTTTCAATGTTCCAGCGCCTGATGGATGCATCATTGGAGCAGGAGAGGAAGCTAGAAGCATTGATTACTGCGAGGTCACGAACGCAGTCAGTGTGACCACTGAACTTACCAGCAACCTGGACATAGATACATGTGACACGATCTCAGATATGCAGATAAATGCCAATGATTTGGCAACATATTTAGACAAAGTTCCAGTGATATTAATATTAACCTCAGAAAATGAAATGCAACCTCAGAAGACATTTAGAACAGCCGCTTTTCTCCGAGTGTTTTCTTAATGTCAAGACAGATGCTGAGAAGAATAATATGTGTAATTTGTGCACAAAAAAAGTTCAACTTTGAAGGCAATTTTGTGGGAAGGATAGAAAAAAGTCCTCTTCAAATCTCTCACAACTAGAAAAGTTCTCTAGTTTGTTATAAAATGGCATCAGCATCAGTAATTAGAACGCTATCTAAGTCGATATCTAGAGCTAATTAGACCCAAATAGTGCAATAGCTATAAAACAAGCCCATAAGCCCAATAAGCCTAATAAGCAAATAGTTGTTTTTTCATTCAGTTTAGTTTGAACTCACCTCTCATACTTGTCAACTATGCTACTAACTAATTTCAAAATCTAATGAAATTCCTTCAAGGCATTCAAGTGATCAACTTTCATCATTCTTTTACTGCAACGTACAATATCCTAATGAACTAAAATTTCTTTCCAGAAAAAACTTTTTTGATCCAAACAAATATTAGATTTAATTTGTTGTACAGCATAATGAACATAAGTATATGTATGACCAACATTGACATTAAAGGAGCATTAACTCAGTTTAAACTTTAGCATGAACTTCTATAAACAGCGGAGATAAAAAAGTTACTATGAATTTTGACAAAATTGAAAGGATTCACGTTCCAAGAAATCACTCAAACTGTTTTTAATATTGACCTTGTTTTGGTGCCAGAGATAAACGAGTTTATCAGCAGCTGCAGTGAGTAGACCACCTCCTTCAGGTAGCAAAGCCACAGCCCACAAGGGCCCTGCATGAGCCTTCAGCTCAGCAATGCAAGGGAAAGCATCAGCTGCTGTTGTGCTCCACAACCTAGCCGTATGGTCCCATGACCCTGACACCAGCAAGCCTCCACTGCTGACCAGGCATGAAACTGAAATACATTGAATAGAATTAGTGATATATCAGAAAAATTGAAGTAGCGGGCAAATTAAGGCTAAAGTGCACAAAATTTCAGGAGTTCATTACATGTTCAGCACAGCTGGAATGTAAATTTTACAACGACATTTTAATAAAGGTTGTCAGTAATATAATGGAATGTTAAATTCAAATTGAAACCTAACATATATACATGAATCAGGCTACATACCGTATATAAAGAGCTAAAAAATGAATTCAATAATGCAGAAATCAAAGCCTATTTCAATTGCAATAATTTTAATCATATTCATAAAGTATATACCTAAAGGATAACCAGCAGGGGCCTGAACTTCATCTATTCAAAAAACTACTGAACTGAAATTTATTAAAGAATTTTACTGATAAAAATCAGACATGTGCAAATAATTTCATACAAACTTGTGACCAAACCAAATTGAAAACTAGGTAAATTACCTGTATCTGTATGTCCTTTGAGTTGCTGAAGTGCCGAAACACAGGAAGGGTTGTAGACTAATATTGTGCTGTCTCGTGACCCTGTGAATGTGAGCCCATCTGGCCACTGATCACTTGGATGTAGCGAGCAAATGCTAGTTACATAGCCAGTGTGGCCAGTGTACTCTGTCTCACTTACATATCCCCTGCAAGATTTAAATTCATTAACAAATAAACTACGTGCACCTAGAAATAATTTCATCTTTAAAATAATCAGAGTATAGAAAAGATCATTTGAAAGAAGTATGAAGTATAATGAATATTAGTTATTGGTGGAAAACATCATCATTAGTTTCAGTTATACTAAACATAGAATGGCAAAATGAAAATAGGAAACAAGGTGTATAAAGTATAAACACATGTCATTATCTTGCACAATAAATCTTCCTGGACTCAATCTTACCCACTCTGAGGCAGCCACAGTCTTGCAGATTTGTCTCTAGAAGCAGTGAGGATCTTCCCTGCAGCAGTGGTAGCAACAGATCTCACATCTGACTGATGACCCCGTAGTGTGCAATGTAGTCTATATTCTTCAGAAGCCAAAGCCATTGATAGTAGAACTATGCTTAGGATCTAAAAAGCACATGGCAAAAGAAATTATCATGTAAAAAAAATTATCATGACAAGCTATGCATGTTTTGGATTAAAATATTCCTCAGACAAATCAAAAATCATGTACACAATATTCCAAGCCAAAAGATTTCAAAATAAAATACCTACACAAGTTTATGCGAATTGACCTTGAAAATGAGTTCAATGTCAACTTCAAGAAGTAAATTGGAATTTTTCTACTTATTTAGTTCTTAAAGCAATATTATGAACCAAAATGACAAAATTTCAATACATTTAGTATCTTGCAGCCAAATTGTGCAAATCTATTGGATTGTGCAAATCTATTAGCACAATTGGAGGTATATAAAAAAGGAGGTATAAAATTCATCTAGTAACAAACTTGTGACTTTAAAAATGGTGCAGAAGCTCTGGTTTGGGCTTAAAATGCAATATATTCAATTCCTGTTCAAGACTCAGGAGTGCTAATGTATGAATGGGTATACATATCAAATTACATCATGATCAAAAACCCTAAAACTAGAATTTTCTTATATAATTCAGGTGATTTTTTGGAACTGAGCAAGTTACCACGCTAGATTGATCTTAAATACATGAACTATCATTCCAAGAATTACACCCTGCAGATCAGCAAATGGAACCAAACTGCTATTCATTAGCCCTCTATGGCCACCTGTCCTAGGTGTACCATACAACCACCTTTCAAACATGCTCTCTCATAGTAGGCAATGTTGTTATCAGGAATTGTTGCTAGATGTTTTAAATAGGTCAAAACATGTTCTTTTTCTCAATCTAGAAGTCTCAACTTGCTACTCTGACATCAAAAACAATCATTTCATGGACAATTTGTTGGACAAACAATAATTGTTTTTCTTACTGTAAAGTCTTTTCACTGAATAAATTAGGAAAAGGCTACAGGAGCAAGTTAAACTGGCCAGATTCACTGCTGTTTTGTCCAATTCATGGGTGGCTTCTGCCCAATTTTCCACCTCAGCTTTAACCTACTCAGTCACCTTAAAGGCTTAATAAAAAGAAACTACCGTATTGAAAATAATGTTTTTAAAGGATGGCGTAAATGTGGCAACAGGCTCATTGGGCTGTACCTGTATAGAGTTAAACTTGCAGGAAAAGAAGAACAGCCACTTTCATGATATTGGATACACTACTACTACAGTACTACATACTGGTAACTGGTAATTTTACACCATTGATCTGTGATCATCTGTCTGACGTGTGATTGTGTGAATTTGTGAAAGAAAGGGTCAGTCTGACATCTGTCAGATGATCACACCTGTTTAGAAAATCTCTTGTTTAATTTATTGACACATTATAATATAGCTAATTCATTGTATATAAAAATGAATAATGGTTGCATTTGGAGTGTGGTGACAGACAACAGGCCTTTGTATCAGCTAGCTGCCACCTTGCCACATGGCACATGTCACGCATTCATTTTAATATTAATTTTTGGCATAACGAGGGGGGAAAAAAGAGGAGACAGACTGACAGGTACAGGATTCAAGGTATTGAGACAAGATTTAGATTTTAGAGTGCAGAGATGGTTTGTGTAAGTTTTAGATGCAAGTAAAAAGTTAATGGAAATATAAAAGAAACAGGGGATGGTAAAGGCCAGGCCCAGGGGACTGAGGGGAGCCCGGGAGTGAGAATACTTTCAATTTTAATGTTGTTTTGTTGGTTATTGGTCCGTATCAGTTATGGAATTGGAACATGATACAAACAATATAAAATGCACAACAAACCAATTGAAAAAATAACAGTCTGGAGCCTCAAAGTCATCACTATAGTATAGGCTAAGTTATAAGTATAAGCAACAATCGCCAACAGCTGACTGAGCTGAGGGTGAAAAGTTGAACTTGGTACTGGCACTGTGGCACAAATTTACTAAATCACTAATAATTAACCTCGTAAAGAACAGGTGTACCGTAGACTGTAGGGTAGAGACTAGCTAGTAAATTGGACTGTTTAAAAAGCCCTTGCTCCCCTTTTTTTTTTTTTTGTTTAAACAAGTGCATTCTTCCAAGTTCCAAGCGTCTACTCTATGTCATTGTTGGCAGTTTGACTTTGAAGCGTCTAGGATTGAATTATTTACGGTACTCGCTAGTCGCTACTTCTAAAACACTAACACTGTAACAGCCTCGTCATGCAAGAAGTTAAGAACTTATCATCAAAGACTTATGTTCTTCGTGTGGTTGGAAAATTAGACAAAATTGAAAAGCAAATTACAAGCATCATGCACACAAGTTCAAATGATCATTCAGCGAGAAAAGTTTTTCAGCCAGAGCCAGCCTTGGTGGCATGGGGGAGAGACTAATCGGGGAGGAAGACCGAAGAAGATGCACGTCTCGGACAAATTTACGGCCTGCGCGGCCGCCGGACTCCAAACATAGAAAAAACTAGCCAATCAACGGAAACCTCGCAGGTTAGGTTCACGTTCAGTTACTTACAGGTTCCATTAAAAACACAAAAAAAACTTGAAAACCCCATAAAAACACTAAGAAACCCTTTCCGGCCGCAGGTCCGGCAGTAAATTTGTCCGAGACCTGAAGATGCTGGGGAGCAGTCACAGTGCTGCACTGCTGCAGTGCTGCTGGGTTCACGTTTCGCGAAGTTCGTAGGTGATGAGGCTGCCAGGCGGTCTCGACGTCTCGTGCGGAACAGTTCACATGTACGGTGCAGTCTAGCGTGGTTTGCGGACCCAAGCCGTAAGGCTAACGGCATGTTTAAAGAAGTGATGTTTTGGGTTAAAACAGTGGTTCCCAAACTTTTTCAGGCTAGCGCCCCCTTTGGCTCCCTAGTGAATTTCTAGCGCCCCCCACAGACACATATAGGGTAACATGGGGCAGCGAGCCCACTGCGGGTCACGGGCCCATAGCGGGTTTCTCGCTAAGAATGGCAGATATTGGTCCGTGTTCTCTACCGCCTGTTACCTGTAGGCTGTACCGCCTGTCGACAGTTTCACTGGGAAGAAGTGTACGGATTTACGTTTTGCTAAGTGTTTGCGTTATCAAGTTCTTTGCGAATAACTGTTTATAGTCCAGATAAAAATTTTTTTGCCGCTAAATAAAGTTTTTTTTTCCATTACTATAGATGAAGATTTTGAAATTACTTTGAATTATTTTTTCAAAGTAATATATATAGGGATAATTTTGAGACCAAGTTTAGACTATTAGCTTTTAAAATAAAATGTTGACACGATATAAATTGAAACAGCACTAGAAACCTAGGACGTTTCGGGCAAATTTACGGCCGGACTCGTGGCCGGTCTCACGACCAATCTCCAAATTCAGTTATCAAGGAATATCTCCCAAACTAATGAATGCAGTTCAATAAAACTCGGAACATGTATTCATTAGAACTTAACGGTGACGTTTAGCTTGCAAAAATTTTTTAAACATCACCTTCATTTGTGAGTTATATTGCGATACAGGCCGAAATTCGCAGTGATCAAAGAATTTCTTCCAAACTACCAAACAGATTTGAACGAAATTCTGAACATAGTGGCAAACCAGAGATTTTTTAGAATCAGTTCATTTTTAAAGTCCTCATTTACTCAAGATTTTAACAGATTTCTTATGTATGATAATTCTGGTATCCAAGATACTATACTGGTCTACTTATAGGACTCAAAAATGAACTTGAGGAAGAGTCTAAAAAACTCTCTGCTTTGCCACTATGATTCTGAATATACATTCCTAACTACCAAATGTGTTTTTTAGATGAAAAAAATTTTATTTTACCGTCGTTTGCGAGATTTTTTTTCATTTTACCATCATTCTTGATTTCACACTTCCTTATTCGCTTTCGTTCGCAAGTTATACAGATATAGGAGAAACGATCGGCTTTTCTAACGGCTGGTTTAACAAAGAGCCGTTTACGTATAGCCGTATAACTCACAAACGAAGGCAAAACGAAAAAATTGNCTGTGTCAGCTGGAGTAATAGGACCTTTTGGCGATGAGACCTCAGAGGAAGAGCTCACCCAGGAGTTACACCTGGCCGGATACAATGGTGCCTCAGCAGTTAGAATTTACAAAGGCAAGGATAAAATAAAGACAGCTATGTTCAAGGTACTTTTTGCATCAGATCATCTACCCTCCTACCTCTATCTTGGTTACCAATGCTTCAAGGTGGAAGCATTTGTGAGTAAGCCGTGGCAGTGTTATAAATGTCAGGGATTCAATCATAATGCCAGCAACTGCAGAGGCCCCTCCCGATGTGTAGGTTGTGGGGGACCTCATAATGTAAAAGACTGCCCTACTTCCAGGAGTCAGACCCCAAAATGCTGCAACTGTGGTGGCACACATACTGCTAACTATGGGGGTTGCCCTCGAATGAAATTCAAAGTGTTAGTTGAGAAGACTCGTTCTACAAAAAAGATGTCATATAGAGATGCCCTTAAACATGTAAAAGAGACTACAACTATCACCACAACCAGCAACACAGCTAGAAGCACATCCCTGAGTTCACCACTCAACCCTTCAGCAACTACCTCAGTACCTCAGGTCAATCGCATGAAGAGTTTGAAAACACAAGCCAGCTCAGAAAAAATTTCAGTATCCACGCAAACTGATGAAAACATCCCACAGACTCACTCTCAAGAAAATTCAGTCTCTAAACTCATTGAACTCCTTTCAAAATTTATAAACCTATGCCAAAACTCTGATAACCCAAATATCTCTGATCAAATTACCCAGATAGTTGATGAAACTTTTACAGTACCAGCCCAGACAATGCAAAATCAACAATGTGGAACTAAACCTAAAACAGTCAACGTATCTGCCAATCTCCCCCACAACAACTTGCTTCCTAATTTCAAAAATCAAACTTCAGCAGCAATAGAAGTTCATATGCAACCTCCTGTTATTGATCCTGAGATACCTGACCAACCACTCAACAAGACACTTCTGCCAAACCAAAACAGCCCCTCAGTAAGGAGCAGACCACGCAAAATATCAAGATTACACAGTCCTGGATCACAGATTATTCCAGCTCCTCTTACTCCAGAAGTTATTGAAGTGCCCTTCAACCCTTCACCAA